TTTTTTTTTTTTTTTTTTTTTTTAGAATTCCATGCAGTGAATCATCTTTGAAAGGAGGGTCAGGTTTCTCTGGAAGTATTTAAAGGGGCTGCTAGGGTATGTAGGAAAATGAATTGGGGAGGCCAAAGCCCTGAGGGACACCCCTGGAGCCTGGCCCCAGCTGGATGCAGCACCCTCACCAGTACTCTCTGGCCCGGCCTCCAGCTAGGTCTGAGCCCAGCACAGAGTGCTCCTGTCCCAGCCCCGGGCTGCAGCTTTTCCAGGAGGGAGCTCTGGGAGACAGTGCCAAAGGTCTTGCTGCAGCCCAAACAGACACATCCACAGCCTTTCCTGCATCCACCAAGAGGGTCACCTGGTCATGGAAGGAGACCAGGCTGGTCAGACACGCCCCAGTCCTGCTAAACCCCTGCTGGCTGGCTCTGATACCCTGGCCATCCTGTGAGTGCTGCCTGATGAAACCAATATAAACTGCTCCCTGATAATATATTTGTGAAAACATTTTTATATGATCCTTTACAAAAGTTACCAAATTAAGTTCAAACTGAGCTTTGGTCTCCCCAATTTTTTCCCTCCATAGCCTGGCAACCCCTTTAAATACTTGGGAGAGACCTGACCCTCCTTCCAAAGATGATACATCCTCCTTTTACTCCTAAATTCATTCAAAACCTCATTGCCCATCCAGGCTGGATGTTTGCCTCGTCGACTCATCTTTGGGCACACAGGGACAGTCTGCTCCTGTGCCCTCAAGGTCTCTGTTTTGAAGCATGCCCATCTTACCTGGACTCCTTTGCTTTTAAGAGCTGCTTCCCAAGGAACTCTCTCTTCCCAAGGAACTCATAGTTCTCCTAAAAATGACCAAGTCTGCCCTCAGGAAGTCTAATGTAAGAACTTTATTGATGTTTGTAGCCATGATATTATGAAAAATTCTTTGCTGGGATTTTTCCTCTCCTGAGAAGCTGAGGAGCCTCAGGAGAGAAATGTAAACAATTACTATCTGCTGCTGTGGAATGCAACAAGTGCATCCGTGATTGGTCCATGTGGATTGTTTTCCATTGATGACCAATCACAGCCACCTGTGCCAAGGCTGTGAGCAGTCACAAGATTTTGTTATTCTATTCTGTTCTAATCTTGTTGAGCCTTTTGATCTCTCTGTTCTCTCTGTTCTTTAGTATAGTTTTAATGTAGTATTTTAATATAATATTTAACATAATAAATCAGCCTTCTGAAATGGAGTCAAGCCTCGTGTCACTATACGTGGAGAGTCAGCAACAGATGTTCCTCCTGATATCACCAAATATTGAGAACACTGTAATTTCACGATCACCGTGCACATCTGCCTCCAGCCCACCTCCATTTACAAACAATAACGAACAAAGTTCCATCCCTGGAAGGCTGACTCAATCAGCTGTGATTGCTGCGCCCTGGAAATTCCTCAGAAGTGCTTTCGACATCAACCAGATCCTTCCTGACTGCGCGGGCTCCTGCCCAACGTCTCCTCCTTGAACTCATCACGAACGAGTCCGCGTTCCGCCTGCTGGGGCTCGCTGCAAACGCGTTCTCCTTGCAGGGACCCCAAACCAGATCCCTCGCTCGACTCCTCCTCCCCACGTGTCGCTGCTTGCCCCAGCTCTGTTTGCACACAACATTCAAAATCCCTCCCGCGGCGACATCGGCGCCATCCTGCGGTGACACCGGCTGCGCCCGGTGGGCCCGGCCGGGAGCGGAGCAGAAGCGGCGCCCGGAGGTCAGGAGCGGATCCAGCAGAGGTGGGATTCGCGATCGGGTATGCCCCGCTCGGTGCTGAGGGCGGACTCGGGGCCGCTGGCCCAGGGGGCGGGAGGTGTCCGTGCCCGGCTCGGGGCTGGCACGGCGTGAACGTGAACGTGCCTCGGAGCCCAAAGCGCTGCAGGCGCCGAGCGGAGCCAGAAAGCGCCGCATCCTGCCTGCTGCGGAGCCGAGGCTTCCCGGCGCTGCCCTCTGTGCCAGGAGCCGCTCCGTGTTCCCGGGCAGGGAGCCAGAGCGGCCGTGCCGGCTGAGCTCGGTGTGCCCGGGCTCCAAGGCGCCGGGGCAGGCAATGCGGGGCACAGCGGCGAGCAGCCCGGCGCTGCTGGTGCTGCCTGGAGCCAGTGCATTGCCCTCTTTATATGTAAGAAAGATATCACACTAAAATTTTTATAGAAGTTTATTAACAGACAAAATCCCATATTTGGGTGCTTGTCTGTTTGCACACAGTTAATTTAAACTGTGTTCCGTGTATACCGTTAGATTATAGGCCTGTATGCTTTTTCAAAATATATTATGCATATTCAAACATTCGTTTGATTTTATACGTTGTTTTGTTTGGTTTTAACCTTTGACTTGTCTTTGTGCCATCTTCTCAATTAAAGAAATACATTTTATTTTATCTTGTGGTTCTCTTTTTGTATTTTCACTCCCTGATAATGAGGATTAGTAAATAGGTTTTTTTTCGGTTCTCTGGTTTCTATTTGCGTGAACTTCTCTTTTTGATAAGAAAGTCCCTGAATATGGGAAAATTTTTTTTACACCATTTTCTGAGTTAGTTTCATGAAAAATTATTTCAACATTTCACAGTCTCTATTATGCTACACTCTATGATCGTGTCTATTACACCGCTGTTTATAAGAGCTGTACAGTGCGTACATAAACTGACAAATTATACTGTATCAAAAGCAGTAATTACATTGTGTATTATATCAGGATTTTTGTGATCAATAACTTGAAAACAAAATTTAGTACATAAATGTGAAAGCTAATAGCTATATTTGGTATTTATAACATTCTACAACAGGCTTAGTTGGGAAATCCAAATCGCCCTGAGCTCTTGGAAATCATCACAAAGTGGCCTGAAGGTGACACTTTTGGACTGTTATTGGAAGATGTGGGAAATGATGCTCACTTTTAAAATGTTCAAGTTTTAGTAAACATTAACAAAAAAATAGAACAACAGACAGAATAAGGAAAAATTACAGCGTTCAGGGTGGCTGTGGCAATCATCCACATGCTTGTTTACAAAATGCATGCTCTGCCTTTTATACCCTCAGCCCCTCCTGAAGTTTTGTCAGTCAGCTCCTCCTCTGCCCTGCACTGGTGGAGATCACTTCCCTACACCTTGACTGGAGCTCAGGTGTTGTCCTGTCGCCCTCCTGGTGATGAGCCGGCCCTCCCCAAATGCCCTGACAGTTTGCCAGTCCGTGTTCCCTGCTTGGCTGCAGACTGGGAGAAGTGCTGGGATGAGAATCTCACCTCTCTGGGCATCCAGACCCTGTCGAGTCCCTGCACCTGAACCAGCCCAAAGCCTCTCTTACCTTTTGCTGCTCTCAGGAGGGAAAAGCAAAGCAGGCAAAAGCATCCCCAGACCGCCTGTGGATCCATGGTGGGCTCCGGGAGCCGGGAAGGGAGCGGGGTGGGAGAGAGGGACCGCACCGGGGCCCGACCTTCTCCCTGTCCCCGCCTTACCCGAGAGAAGGCAAATAATTAAACCTTTGTGCCAACCCCCAGCAGCCACGGAGGGTTTGGAAATCAGCTGAGGTTCGCCAAAGGCCGGCGGGAGGGGAGGAAAGCTGGAGGAAAAAGAGCAGCCAGAAGCATTGAGGGGTGCAGGAATTGCCAGTTTGTCCTGATACGGGAGGGGGATGCTCAGAGAGCTGCTCTCTCTTTTGGAGATATTTCTCTTCCCATCACAGGATAGAAGACAGTTCCTTTCAAAAGAAAAGGCCCAGAAGGGGGAAGGGGGGAAGCAGCTTTTCCATCCTTTTAGCTGGAGATGGGATTTGCAGCCTGGAGGCTCAAGTTACTTAAAGGGCCAGGCTGGAGGGGATGGGGAGTGCTGCTACCCCCAGAAAGAAACGGGAAAGGGCTTAGGAAATCCATCTCTAAAGCCCTTGGCCCACTGACCATACAGTGTTTTTATTAATGCATGAACGTTCTGATTGCTGAGTTTAATTGTTTTCTAAAGACACCACAGTAAGGGGTGGTGATGCAGCTCAGGAAAAGAAAGGGAGAGTGGAAGAGGGGGGCACTCCACGCGTCATTCTGGAAGTGATCTGCTTATTACATGGGATCTTACAGTGGCACATAAAGAGGTTCCTCTCAAGGGAAGCCCTTTAAGATCAGGACAGCAGTGTTTGCCCTCAGTTTTAACCTTGAGATGATGAAAATGGGGCTCTTTTCCTCAATTCAAACCCATGGAACAGCATGATAAATGTTTTCTCTTTCCATTTAAACATGGAAATAATGGAAAACTGATTCCCAGTCAAGTGACACATTCAAAATCATGAAGAAGGTGTGTTTTCCTTCCTGCAAATAGTAGGTGAAGTGGGATCCTTTGAAGTTCAAACCCAGACAATTACGGAAAAGGCATCGTTCCCCTCAATTTAATCCCCTTTTCTCCTCATAACCCCCCATTTTTGGGGGCACTGGGGAGGGACTAGGGGCACTTACCCCTCCTCACTGCTCACTCCTGGGGCTGCTGCCCGTCGGAGCGTGGGGGGAAGCTGTATTTAGTGCCAGGAAGGAGCGGAAGAAGCTCCGGGGGGGCGAATCCCATTGGGAAGACGGAGCTTGGGCCGGCAGCGGTGTCCGACCTCCGGAGGGCAGCGGGGAGGTCCCGGGGAGCTGGGGGAGCCGGCCCATGGCCCCGAGTGAGGAACGCACCGGGTGGGAACGAAATGAAATAGAGCAGAATGAAGTGCGGTAGAAGAGCCACGCCCCGGGAGGGTCTCCGTGTCACTGGAAGAGCTGCACCGAGACCGTCGTGGCGCTGAAAGAGCGGCACGGGAAAGGCTGGGAGGTGTGACAAATAAAACACAGAGAATGGTGTAAAATGTCACAAAGGTACGCCCCTGTCACTGGCACAGCTGCAGCTGCCGGGTCCACAGGCATTGCTCGGTGCCTGGCGGCGTTTGCCATCCCCAGGGATCAGCTGAGTCCAGCGGCAGCGACTTCCGAGTGGCCCGGGGGATGGGGTCCGATCGCTTAGAGATCAGGACGAATATTTTGATCTTTTTTTTTTTCCATTTTAGGGGGCTGAGGGGGTCTTTTCTCTAGCAGTAGCTCCTTGTCCTTTCCCCCGTATGCCGATTTTCCTTCGTCTGGAGGCAATCCCCCACTGTCCCCAGCCCTGGGTCCCCTCCCCGCGGTGACTCCCCCGGTCGCTGTGGGCTGTGGCGGGGGCAGGAAGCTCCGGTGCCGCTGCCAGCTCTCGCCACACCGGGCCAGCCCCAGCGGGCAGAGGTGCTTTGGCTTCCTGTCCCCTCCCCCGTGTCCCCACGGCAGCGCCACCACCCCCGAGTCCCCATCCTGTGTCCCCTCGGCTCTGCCGTCGCATGGAGGACGAGGACGGCTACGTGATCTTAGAGCGAAGGGACAAGCGGGGCTCGGCGGGGAGGTCCCCACCCCGGCAGGGTGCAGGTACTGGGGGGTCGTGTCCGCTGGGCCCCCCGATCTTTGGGGGAGAGGAACTGGAGGGGGGTGGGTGCGGGCTGAAGGCACCCAGGAGTCGCCAAGAGCTGCCCAGGGTGGGGAAACTGAGGCACAGCTCGAGGGAGGCGGGTCTGGGGGGGCTTTTCTTGATGCTGTGGTTGTCTGCTGTCCCATCCCCCCAAGCTGTGACCCCAAAAGGTGGAGCAGAGGGGGTTTTTGAGGTCACCCAACTCTTCGTGCTCCTGTACAGGGTGGTCTCACTGAGTTGCTTTGCCCCAGGACTTCCTGCCTTGGGCTCTCGGGGTTCGGGGAGGCGACAGGTGCTCGCGAACCCGCTCTTTTTTCCATATCCTTTCCCCAGCAGCAGGATCTAGCTTTCAAGAATCCCAGAGGGTCCCCGCAGCATCCTCCCGCTGTCCCCGCCGCCTCCTCGTGGCCCTGACGGCCGCCCTGGCGCTGTCCCTCGTGCTCTGCCGTGAGTTTGCGGGGCGGCGGGGGCTCCGGGCACCCCTTCCGACCCCACCCCCATTTCCCTGACCCCCTTCTCGCAGTGTCCTGGTGTGTGGCACAGCAGTGGCAGTCCCAGGGGACCGCAGGTTACGAGAGCGCCTCGCCGGGAGCTGCCCGTTCGAGCTGGGATGGCATCCTCAGGGAGATGCGGAGGGTCCTGTGCCCGCCCCGAGGTAACTCACCCCCCGGGGGCTCCTTTGAGCTTCCCCCCGATAAAGAGAGGCCGGAGATGCCCTCCGGTCCCTGCTCAGCACCCGGGACCCGCCCGTGTGCCCGCAGAGAGCGAGGGGTGCCGGCTGTGCGCCGTGGGCTGGAGGCTGCTCGGGGCCAAGTGCTACTGGATTTCCGACGGGATGAACCCTTGGAACAGGAGCCGGGAGGACTGCAGGGATCGGGGCTCCGCGCTGCTGGTGCCCTGGGACCAGGATGAGCTGGTGAAGGGAGTGATGGCGCTGGGGATGTGGGATGTGGCTGCACCCGGGGGGCTGGTGCTGCCGAAGGGGCTGGAAGCACCCATGGAAGGGTGAGGGGCTTCCCAAAATCCTGAGCTCAGCTCCCCCGCTGTGTCCAAGCCCCCCCGGGTGCCTGTGGCTGAGTGTGGGGGACACGGGTGGGAAGCTCCGGCCTGGGAAAGAAGTGATTGTGCTGTTTTGGTCACCCCAAAAGTAGCTCTGTCCTCATCCAGGGCAGAGCCAGTTTTGGGGTGACCCAAACAGCATCATCACTTCTCCTTTCCCGGGCCAGGAATTCCTGAATGAAAGCCTGCGGAATCCCACACGGCACTTCTGGATCGGCCTCTCGGTGCCTGCGGCCGGGACGGGCTGGACGTGGGAGAACGGCTCCGAGCTCGACCAGGACCGGTGAGCGCCGGGGGGAGCGCTGGGAGGGCACCCCAGTATCCCCCAGGGACCCCCGGGGTGACACGGGCTCCTTCCTGCCACCCGCAGCTTCCAGCTGGACCTCGAGAAGCGACCTGGAGCCTGTGGAACGCTCAAGGGGAATGGGATCAGACCTCAGAGCTGCGACACGAGGCTGCAGTGGATCTGCCAGAAAGAGTCTGTCGAGATCTGAGCTTCCATTGCACCCTAAAAACAGCGTTAATGCAGGAAAAAATCCCAATTCCCGCGGATCCAGCATCCCCCGGGGATGGGCAGAGCCGCAGCCGGTGAAAGTCTCCCGAGGCGGGCGATGTAGGAGAGAAATCGACCTAAAAAAACCGAATAAAACCTAAAAATAACTTGGGGAATTGCACTTTTGGGGCGAACATTGGGGAGAGGGAGGGAGAAACGTGGCATTTTATTTTTAAGGGGTGTTTTGGCGCCGGGATGATCCGAGATTCAGCCGGAGGGGGGGAACTTGAGAGTGATGGTCCGCAGTGTCCCTGCCCATGTCCCCGTGTCCCTCTCGTGTGCCCCGTGTCCAAGGCCAGCCACAGCCGCCGGTCCTGGCAGCTTTTGTCTGGGAGCAATCCTCGGATATTCCCAATTTTAGGAGGCGTTATCCCTCCTTCGGCACCCGCAGCCTCTGAGCCCGTGCTGGCCTGTGCAGAGGACCAAGGCAGCTCAAGGACAACCAAACAGCGATTAATTAGCTTAATAAACGCCTCCTAATTAGCGGGGAGGAGAAGTGAGGCCCCGGGGCTTCTCTCGGAGGTGGTGCCACTCCTCGCGCAGGGCTGGGAAAGGCGGGCCGTGAGCTCTGCAAAACGGTGTGTCCGTGTTCGGACACATCTGGAAATGTATCAGTTGATCCATTTCATGGATCCCTAAAAATCCCTTAAAATCCCTTACATTTTAATAAATTTAACCCCAGACTCTCACCATTCCCCCGAGCTCTGACTCCATCCTCACCTTGGCACCCCCAAAAACTCTCACTTGAAGATACCAACCCCCCCGCCCCCAAATCCTTAAAAAATTCCAGAACCCGACCGAAAATTAATTAAATGTTCTTTCCCAGACCCCTCTGGGGGGCCAAATCCGAGGATTTTCCCACCTGCTGCCCTCCCTGGAGCCCAGTCCCGAGGGATGTTACGTGGGACAACACTGCTGCTTTTGGGGTGGGGGATCCCCAGTTTGAGATGTCCGCAACCTTTTTTGGGGGATTCCCACTTTTTTCCAGAGAGTCTCCTCACCTTTTGGGGGTTTTCCCACACCTTTTGGAGAGGTCCTCACATTTGGAGGGGGATCCCCTCCATTTCATTTGATCCACCTCATGGATCAATTCCTGACGTTTTTATGCCTCTTTCAGCGGCAATTTATTGCCTCTCACCTCTCCGAGATCAGGACGAGCACTCTGATCTCTTATTTTTTCCATTCTAGGGGGCTGAGGGTTTTTTTTTCCCTCCCGTACTAGCTCCTTGTCCTTTCCCCCGTGGGCAGCAGCCCCGTATGCCGATTTTCCTCCGTCTGGAGAGGAAACCAGAGCGGAGAAAACAAACCCGCGCTGTCCCCAGCCCTGGGTCCCCTCCCCGCGGTGACTCCCCCGGTCGCTGTGGGCTGTGGCGGGGGCAGGAAGCTCCGGTGCCGCTGCCAGCTCTCGCCACACCGGGCCAGCCCCAGCGGGCAGAGGTGCTTTGGCTTCCTGTCCCCTCCCCCGTGTCCCCACGGCAGCGCCACCACCCCCGAGTCCCCATCCTGTGTCCCCTCGGCTCTGGTGTCGCACGGGGGATGAGGACAGCGAGCGGGGGGACAAGCGGGGCTCTGCGGGGACATCCCCACCCCGGCAGGGTGCAGGGACTGGGGGGTTCCCTGGGCCCCCCGATCTTTGGGGTGCGGGCGTGGCCCGAGACGGGGTGGGGGTCGCAGAGGGGAGCGGTCCTGGAAGAGTCCGGGGTGTCACTGTGGGGGTTGGGGGTTCCAGAAGGGTTTGGAGGGATGGGGACATGGCTGGGGACCCTGTGGGCAGGAAGCTGGGAGGGGGTTGTTATTACTATTATTATTATTATTATTATTATTATTATTATTATTATTATTATTATTATTATTATCACCACTATCATTATTATCATTATTATTATTATTACCACTATCATGATTATCATTATCATTTTTATCATCACCATCGTTATCATTATCATTATTAATATTAAAGAATAGTAATAATAATAATAAAAACCAGCGACTAATTATTATTACTATTACTATATTTAATAGTATCAATATCAATATTAATATTACTTAATAATTAAGATTGACTATTGATGTAAATATTAACATATTTACACATTAATAACATAACACCTTATTAATATACAATTAATATACTAATAATATATTGATATCACTATAATTAATATTAATATAAATATAGTCATTATTATAATTACTATAATTATTATATATTGTTATATAATAATATATTAATATATATTATTATATATTATTATATATTATTATGACATGTATTATAATATTTATAATAATGTTTATACTATGCCATAAAATAGTAATAATAATAACAATAACAACCATAATAATAGTGATAATGATAATAATAATAATAAAGCCCAGCGACTAATTATTGTTACTATTACTATATATAACAATATCAATATCAATATTACCATTAATTAATAATTAAAATTTACTATTGATGTAAATATTAACATAATATTAATATTTTAACACATTATTAATATAGTATTGATCTATTCATAATATATTAATAGCAGTATAATTAATATGGATATCAATATAATAATATTATTTATTTATATAGTATTATTATAATATTTATTATAATTCTATTTATTATAACAATAATGATAATAATGATGATAATGATAATGATAATGATGATGATGATAATAATAATAATAATAATAATGATAATAATAATAATAATAATAATAATAATAATAATAATAATAAATATACCAGCAACTGATGCCTTGAGAGGCTACGTGGAAGAGCAGCTAGACAGAGTTAAAGAATAAAGCAGGGATTTATTAAAAGCCCTCAAAGGATAAATAAAGGATACACCTTGGGCAGCACCAGAGCCCAGCCGTGGCTGCAGGGAGGTGTATCGGAGTTGCACCTGCACCTCCACGGGGGCTACAACAGGTCGGGAAGGTTACAGCTGCACGGGGCAGTGGCTGCTCCCCGGGTGATGCTTGGCATCTCTTGGAGCCCATCCCGGGGTGATTCCCGAGGGAGAAGGAACACGGCGTAGGGAGGTGAATGTGGGAATCCAGGCAGGAGGGGGGAAGTCGTGATGCCTTATTATTAATTATAATTATATTTATAATAATAATAATAATTATTATTATGTGTTAGCTTTCCTATTTTCCAGATCCTGTACTGTAGCTATGATATTTCATGAAAAATCCTTTGTTAGGATTTTTTCCCCTCCTGAGGAGTTGAGGGCTTCACAAAAGCAATGCACACAATAACTCTCTGCTGCTGTGGAATGCAACAGGTGCATCTTCCATTGGTCCATGTGGATTGCTTCCAATCGATGATCAATCACAGCCACCTGAGGCTGTGAGCAGTCACAGGATTTTGTTATGCATTCTATTCTATTGTTCTTTGTAGCCTTCTGATCATTCTTTTCTCTCTGTTCTTTTAGTATAGTTTTTATGTAGTATTTTAATATATCGTAAGATAATAAATCAGCCCTCTGAAATGGAGTCAAGCCTCCTCGTGTCCCCACACATGAAGTGTTCTCCTCAGCACTGTGCTGCTGTAGTGTGTGACTCTGCACTTCATACAAAGCGGCAGCAAGGTCTCTTCACAGTTTAGCTGGACAGAACAATCCTTTTCCAGCCCCAGAGCCGAGGACACCGCCGCAGCCTCAGGCCCAAAAAGTGCAAACAGCAGGGAATGGAGGGGAGCAAACTGGGAGGGTGGGACTGCATCACCTGGAGCTGGAACTGGACAATGAGCCCCAGTATGGAAATGGACCAAAACCTTTATAAAATCTGAAAATTTGTGACATGTTCTCCATCTTGAGTGTGGCCATGGCCTGGCTCTTATGCTGCCCAAGGTGTATCCTTTGGGACTTTTAATAAATCCCCACTTTATTCTTTAACTCTGTCTAGCCACTGTTCCATGTAGCCCCTCAAGGCATCAGTTGTTGGCAGCTGTTTATTATTATTATTATTATTATTATTATTATTATTATTATTACTATTACTATTATTATTACTATTACTATTATTACTATTATTTAATATTATATAGTATAATTAATGAAACGAATAAAAATATAATAATATAATAAAAATTAAAATATATAGTAATAATGTTATTGTATTCGTTATAATATAATAAATAGAACATTATATATTATAGTATAATAAAACAAAACCTACTATAATAATAATAATAATAGTAATAATAATACCCCTCTCCATCCCAAAGTCCCCTCCCTCCATCCCAAAGTCCCCCCTCCAGGGCATGGCCCTCCTTCCTGGGCACTCCCAGGCGGTCCCAGGGGGTCCTGGGTCAGTCTCTGGGTGGGTTCCATGGGGGTTCCTGGGGGTGGATCCAGGAAGGTCCCCATGGGACCCTCTCTAGGACCCCCCAGGAAATTCCAGGACCCCCCTTGGACCTCTCAGGATCTCTGAAACCCCAGGGACCCCCATGGTAGCCCCTCCCCAGACCCCTCTGGGACATTCTGGGGTGCCTTAGGACCTTCCAGGACCCTCCCAGACAGCCCAGGGATGTTGGAGGATTGCTCCCAGACAAAAAGAGGGACAGCTCTGGCTGGCCTTGGCTTCCCAGGGGCCACCCCAGGCTGTCCCCAAGGCATTTTGAGTGACACCCTTCCCAGAAAAGAGCCATCCTTCACAGACACGCACCCCTGGCTGAAAGTGGGAGTTGGCCCAAGCAAGGAAGGGGAAGAAACAGGGGTTTGCTCCATCCAGAAAGTAGCTATAATTCCCCTTTCCATTTCTTTGTGGAAAGAGGAAAAAGCCCTCTTTTTCAAATTTGACTGCTTTCAGACTCGACTTTTGCATCAGAACACGAACTGATCGGTCTCCGTGACAGTTTCTTTCTCATAAATATGTAACCAATGCCCAGGGTAATGCCAACCCCCCAGAGGACCTTGTAGCACTGCAAAACCATGAATCATTTGGATTTTTCTCTCTCCAGCCCCCTTCCAAGCCGTCCTTTAAAGGAGGTGTGAGTTTTAGCATGGGCAATGCTGGCCAGGCGATGCTTGGCCTCTCCTGGGAAAGGCAGCTCCCTTCTCTGGGACAGCAGTC